ACAATATGTCAAGTAAATATATATTTATACTTATAATATCAGAAAATAACTTTTATATATCTCTTTTAATCGACCAGTTAATTGATTGGGAGCGGCATATCAAACATTGTAATGTTTGATTTCGGCAGACACATCATCACATATATATTTCTGGATTAATCTGAAGAAAACTTATAAACAATGTTTAATTCTAAGTATTTCTATGTATTTTTATCATTTTATGCAATAATTTATTTGACTAAATATATTTTTCAACTAATTGGGAAAATTTTAATTTGTTTAATTTAGGAAGGCATATGACCAAATTAAATAAATCACAGTACTCGTTTGATAACTTGACATAATTACTCTTTCAAATAATAAATATAAGGTTAACAGAGTAAAGAAGTTCAGCATTTACATAAAGCAGAGTTCATAAATTCAGTAACAAAACTTGGAACACCCTACATACAGCTTGAATTTAGCTAAAAGGTAATTTTTTACACTACTTCACATAAATAATAAGTAAATGTTTTTTCGTTATTTATTTAGGCATATCCACCGTAATAAATGCATGACATCGATATGTAAATAAACCGAAAAAATATACTAAATAAATCCGTATTCTACAGTTACTCTAGCGAGATTTATTTCTGGCAATACTCACACAACGGCTACAAAGTTTCTACCTCATATATACTGTGTAATTAATAATATTTTATCTTATTTTATTATTAATATTAATTATTTGTTGAAACCAATTATATATATATTATCCAATTTTTTTTGTAAGTAATAAGAATGAATGAAGTTTTACTTCACTGAATTAAAAGATATATGTTGAACACAAAAAGCACTAATTTTTAGTTTGAATGGTTGCTTTCCTATATCAATATATGAGTTTATTAAGAATATCACATTTTTTTGAAATTTAGTAATATATAAATTGCTATTGAACTACTTTATGAATTAATGAATTTAAGTTTTTAATTTAAATGGATATTTGAGGGTAAAGTTATCTCCCTTACACCATCAACTTAACAATCTATTATAACCAATTTAAATGATCAAATATTAAATAATTAAATAAAAAATAATTTTTTTAATATTATAACTAATTTATTATTTTATGTAAATTGATTGAATTTTAAATAATTTTATAAATTTTTATATAAAGAAAATCCTCCAATAAATTCAGATGATTGAATGTTTTAAGTAGTATTATTTAAAAGTTTATTAATTAAAAAGCAATCCATAGGTGATAATATTAGATATTCTCTATGACAGTAAAAAAAAAACAAAATTTTATAAATATGTTTTGTTTCAGTTGATATATGTATATATATATATCCTAATAATCTTATCGGTCCTCCTAATATAACTCAAATGTTTTCGTTTAATATATTCAATATAAAAATATTAAAATGATCAGTTAATATATAATGATAGAATTGAATTAAATAACTAATTGTTATTGTAGTAAAAACATAATATGAAAAAAAACAAAATTTATTTATATAACTGAAGCATTCAAATTTCTGAAAATATATATTTCTCTTGAATAACATCCTGCTAAAACATATACTTTCCTAGTTAATTCTTAAAGTTGCCATCTAAAAGTTAGATGTATATATATTTATAATACTTTTTTAAGGGAATAGATTGTGAATTATATTATTATGAATAACAGACTTTTCACATATAAATTAATAATATTTTAAATGATGTTTAGGTTAACAAATCAAAAAAATATTAATTTGTAAAATCTGATTGATAAAATTCTAATTATTAGATAAAGCAATAACTTTCTTTAAATTAAATTCAAAATTCCAACCCAATGACATAAGCATTGTTAGTCCTGAAACCAAAAATAAATATATAAACTAATAAATAAGCTGTTAGTAATAACTAAACTTCTAATAATAAATAAACTAATATACTGATTTTAATTGATAAGTTAAATTGATTTATATAAAAATCCGCCTATTGAAGGAGTTGAAGAGTAATCATTCAACAAGAACTTAAATAATTATTATTCTTAAATCTAGTGAACTTAATATTCATAAAAATATATTATTTTGTGACACATATTTTAATGTTAAAACAATAGCTAATAATAAAGCAATATTTCCAATACGATTATTAGACTTACAGTTAATATCTGTGATTTATAAGATTTACAAGTTTAAAAAAATTACTAACAGATAAAATTTTAATTAAAGGAGAGAATTCAAAGAGAAATAATCACACATGTAGATTTAACAAATATTACTGCTAAATATATACTCCATGTGTTATTCCCTTCTATAATAAATAATTGAAAAATACAATATAACCAAAGAAATAGAAATTAAACTTATTCAATATAATAATAATTATTCAATTTTATAAAAAAAAAAAAATTTTTTTTTACTCAAAAATATGTAAATTATCTAATTAGTAAGTACTAACGTTAAAAAAAAATATTTACTTTTTAGTTTTATTAATAATCCCAATTATACGTTGTTCTACATAATGATAAATATTTCACAACTGAAAATAATTGTCTTATATTTTGAATATTATAAATCAACGTTTTCATCAAATTTTTTAAATTATAATAAAATGTATAAAATTCATTAGTTAAATTTAATAAACTTAAAAAAACTCAGTATAATGACAATAATAAGAGTACTTGAAGACTTTTTATTTAAAATAAATAAACAGGACATTATACATATTAATATATACTATTGAAACATATTATATTTGAATATACTTTCTACTGTTGACTATAGAAGTATATAGAAGTATATAAGGTAAAAGTAAAGCTAAGAGATAATGATATATATGAATTACTTATTAAGTAAGCAATCAATTTAAAATTTTATATATAAATAAAATTTTTTCTAACACATTAAAAGTAGAAGGTGCAGCTATATTATCAGATCTTAGTTAAAATCATTATATAGTCAATGATGGTATGAAATCTAATTATCCTGTCTTGATTGCTAACACTCATATCTAATATAAGCCAAACAAATTGAACCTGAAGAACTTAACCTGAAGAACTTAATGTATAAAATAATAAATAAATTTTAAGCTGCAACCCCTCATTCTAAAATTAAAACAAAGATGGATCTAAAAAATAATTAAAAAAATAAATTATAAAATAAATAAATAGTTAAAAAGATAATTAGAAATGTTATAAGAATTATATTAATTATAAATAAATTTTTATGGTTATTGAAATTATTTATCTCATCTGGCTTCTCAACACTAATCCATAAGAAATTGTGTCACATCCTTAGAAATAAGAAATTGATATAAAATAATTACTATATAAATTAAATAAAATAGTAAAAATTTAATCAAATATAATATATTTGGAATATATTTTTTATTATATATTTATTTAAAAACAGCAAATTTGAGCATAAAAAATAAATAAATGTAAAGTAAAGTAGAAATACCTATAGGTCCTTCGCAAACTTTACAAGTTAAAAATATTTATATAAATATCCATTCATATATATATTTAGTATATATTAAATAAATTATTAAAACAGTTATTCTAAACTTAAAAGTACAGCTTATGCAGCATTACTTGAGTCTTTACTTTTGACCTTATTTTATAATTTATTAACCATAAGCAAACATTAACATTAATAAAATAATAATAAAATAATATTTTCTATATTAAATAAATAAATTTTTAATTTGATTATAAATAAAAAATTTAATGAATAAGATAAATCAGATTTTAGTTGCGTTATGAGATATTTTCCCTTGCTGTTTTATCTGATGTCTGGTGGTTCTCTCTTTTTTATGGATGAATACTTTATACTTCAGTTTTAGTTTGAAACTGTAAAGACTTTTCTCAATTCCTCACTTTTTATGAGGATGAATGTATATATATTTTTATAACAGAGTTTATAGTCTTCAACTGTGTTATTAATTCATAAATTGTTTTGGCCACAATATATTAGAAGTTATTATCTTTTCTCGATGTGATCAACTAAATCTTCTTAAGATTTATATATTAGTAGGATGTACGAGTATATACTAAGTTTGTGCCTCTTGGTGGTTATCATGGCTACTACTTAGAAATATTTATTATATGTACAATATTTAGAGTTGAAAATGTAATTTTTAAATTTGGTTTTGATAAGTACCCCAAAACTCGAGTGAGCATGGTGCTCTTTACTTTTGCGTTGGTAGATTAGTAGAACAATCAATTTCGATTGAATAGATTTAGATTTAGATATATAGATTTATTTAAAATCAGTTTAATGTTTTAAATTTGTTGCTTGATCCAAAACGTTAAGAATATTGATGACAACAGTCAGATAGATTTATTTATTTTGGCCTTCTCTGACTTAGATCCACTATATTTTGGTTATGCCTGAAACGTTTGAGGAGGATGCATTGATTCATAATTGGTTTTAAACGAAAAGGAGTTGGGTGCCACAAGCATTACCTTAGCTTATATCTAGTACTAGGCATTGTTTTACTCAAAATGATTCATGACGTTTTTCATGCTTCATGATTTGTGAGCAGACAGATATGAGTATTTAAATATGTATGACCTGTAATTTTTGATGCCCCAGTAATTTATAAAAATGAAGTGTATATTTGACAGCACTTCGGATGTTGCCAACCAAGGTGTTATTGATTTTATATTTTCTTTTTGTAATATATTTATAGGGCATGTAATAGACTAAAAATAGACTAAAAATTATTGACCAGGTTTTCGAAACTTGGAAGGTTTTTTGATGTATTCCAGCAAATCTTTTTCTTTCAATGCAGCTTCTTTCGTTTTTTTTTATGAAGGAATTATTTATAAATCTTACGTGGGGACTTCAAAAACCCCTTATATAATATGTTCAATAATAAAAATTAGGTCGGAATCCTTATTTGTTAATATGATTATTAAGGAAAGGAGCAAGGAAATACATACATTATATAACTAAGCAATCGTTGATATTCTAAGAGTTTGTTGAAAAGCCAGAACAAAAATATTAGTTTTATAAAAAATTTTTATTTCTTTCATACGTTTCCGAAATCATGAAATTTTAGGCCGTACAAATTTTCAGTTTAGTTTTTGGACTTTACCATATATCTTCATCATGATATATTAGATCGAAATTCAAGATTTTTCGTTAGCAAAGTTAATGCGGATATTTTGTTGAGATATCCGCTGTCAAAAACTGAGAGCATTTAGAAGCAATCATTTCTATTACAGAGCTTGCATCACAGAAATTGTACCATGCTGATTATACCACTTGTGCTTCATTTGATCTACATAGGCTCGGCTGTTGCTTCAATTTTTCTAACAGGTGATGCTGAGAATTCTCTCTGGTTATTGGGAGGATGTGTATGTTGTCTTGTACATGGATTCTTCTTTGCCTTACGAGACTTAGTCGATAATGAAGATGACGAAATGTTGAAAGTGGAAAAAGTTTCTCAAGGTATTGTAGAGATTGTGCCCTTAGGATGCGTGAATGTGTTCTTTTTCTTGCAAACTGAAACAGTTAAGGATTTTGCATTCGCTCATTTGTTTGCTGCAACAGTAGTGGTGTACAACACTGTTGCTATCTATGGTCAAGACGAACGAAATGGCACCACAGAATATCTTAAGTCCCTAACAATTGCGATTTTCTGTATTTCGTTGATGATATGCGGATTTTTCGCTAACAAATTGTTTGTTATGGTAATTGGCTTAGTTGCACTTTTAATAAAAGATGGAGCAATACTTTTAGATGCTCTTTGTATACCTGGCACGGAATTTGTAATATACATAGGTGAGTCTGCACTATTAGCCTTTACAGGCGCTGTTGCAGGTGGTTATCTAGACGATTTCGAAGTGGACATACAAAAACTAGTCGGATATGGCGGCGGCGGCGAGAAAAAGGACGAAGGAGGTGATGGTGGCGGTGCTTAGGTAAGTAGCAAAGCATCCACTAAGTTTTATTTAACACTGACAAAGAAATGACGCAATTATAACATATTATTTAGACAGTCTTGTTCTATTACGTGAGAATTTCATCCTTCATTAATCTATTGGGAGCGATTACTCACAAACGTTACTATAAGGTTGTCATTTCAGATAATTATTCTACTTATTAAAGTGCAATCGGAATCGTTTTTCTAAATTATACTTAAAAGGAAATTTATTTTTCAGACATTCAATACTTGAAAATACTCGCACTTAAGAAATTGGATGGAATGCGATTCACTAGCAAGGGTTTATAATGTTAAAATATCCATAATTTCGCAAATCAGTAAAAATAAACTTAATAAACACTACAAAATAATAACTTCCAAGATCATTTCAAGAATTTAAAATTTCTGATTGATGAAGGAGAAATGTGTCATCTTTAGGCTATTTACAAGCAAGGAATATGCTACCGAAACGTAATAATTTTGTCGTGCAAAGAAAGATTCTTATATATCAAAATGGGTTTACAAAATGGAATATTTTTACATAAATGAAATAAATTTATTTATTTATTTATGAACTTGCAGAATAACAGATAAAAAGTAAGTCTTGCCATTTAAATGAATTCCGGTCGTATTACTTATGTACATGATATACTAATTGAAACCAGATCTTACTATTCAAGAAAAATACATATATTAACGAAGCAGGAATTTATTGTTATGGAAATTATAACTTCATATTCGAGGGTTACTTGCAGTAATAAATGAGTACAAAATAATAAAAAAGATTGAATTTTTGAAAAAAAAAATATAATATTTAACGATGTATAATAATAAGTGAACTGCATTTAGAAAAGTAGAAGGGAAATCAAATTTATAAATTTGTTTCGCTGCTATATATATTTCTGGCATAATAATGAAAATGTGAATATTTATCATCAAAAATTGTGTTATTGTTTTTCAAAGTATTCTCCAACCTGATTTATACATTTTTGCATGCGCTCAAACCAATTGTCGAAGCACTTTTTCCACTCCCATTGAGACACCTTCAAAATATGGTTTTTGAAAGCTTTAACAGCATCTTCTGGCGACGATTTTCGTCTCTCCTGTTCATTTTTCGAATTTCTCCAAAGACAACAAACAAATTGTGGTGTATCATTCAGAAGTGATCGTCCATCGTTGCTCAAGCGGAACAGTCACCACATGATCACTTTTGCTGAAGAAACAGGCGACCATTTACTTCGAAGTGCTTCGAAGACCTACACGGTCGATTGTTGTTTTGTTTCGGGCTCATACGCATAGATCCATGATTCGTCATCTGTGACGATCTTATAAACGTCTTTTGAAGCACCGCGAACGTATTTTTTCAACATTTCTTCGCACCAATCAGCACGATTACAAATACAGTGGTACGTCAGAAATATTAGAGACAGTAAAACGTCGAAAGTTGAAGTTTTTTGGTCATATTCTGAGGCATCTGGAAGAGTACGGACTACTAAAATTAATCATTGAAAGCAGAATTGAAGGTAGACGTGGCCCTGGTAGACGAAAAATATCATGGCTGAAGAATTTACGTCAATGGTTTAATAAAAGTATAAGATCACTTTTTCGAGAAGCTGTAGATAAAATCAAAATAGCAATCATGTTAGCCAACGTTCGAAGCAGATAAGGCACCTAGAAGAAGAAGAATTAGCATGAGTCTTTTTTGGAGCGATTGTCAATTTGTGCGGGATCCAACGAGAACGAACCTTTTTCACGGCCAGGTGTTCATGCAATATCGAATGTATGCTGGTGGGAGAAATGCCCAAGGATGCCTCTATCTCACGGTATGTCACATGACGATCTTGCATTATCAGTTCACGCAAGGCATCAGTGTCGTTGAGCGAGCGTCGGCGGCGATTGAATTCATTAAACCAGTTTTTCATAGTGCTATAGGATGGTGCTTTATCGCCATATAAATATGTTATGCTAAAAAATGTCAACCTTTCCAATGGAAATGTCAGATTGCACCTGGCAACATCTAATGTTGCTTAGGCCAGAAATATATAGAGCAGCCCTCGTCCTAGTTTAGGTACGTACTTAATACTATATATTGTATTGTTTCTTATCGTCAGCAGGAAAAGGTAAGTCTGGTGTTAAATGAATAAGGAAAATAATAGCAGTGACACTTAATCGTTAACTGAATCGATCTCTTTATAATGATAATAATATTTTAATATACTAATTATTATATATATTATATATAAATGTTATTACAAAATACAAGAATATTTAATGGTCAATTTATAGATATGGATTATTTTATGGTAATTAAAAGATGTCCTCACTAAGTGTCCTCATATAACCTGTTGTCTGGCAAAAGCAGGACCCTAACACGGCAAACTTTCGTTTTTAAAGCGTTGAGAGTTTGTCCGCAAACACAAGCTAATCTACATTAACCTACGGAACAAGTCCACATATATCACATAATATAAAACTGGTTATTAATTCAGATCACCAAAACGTGAAATTCTAGGTTTGGGAAATTTCTTGTGCTCTTAAAGTTAAAAATGTCTAAAAGTACGTTTACGCAATCTGAAATACATTAATTGTGTAGCAGATAGTTTCAATTTCCATATAATGATGCTACAGATTCCATAATTATGCTTTTCAGTCTGCAGTAAGATAAATAATATTTCCAACTTAATAATTTGCAATATTTACTGCATTATGAAATTCGAGTCAAACAGTAATGGCTTTTCGGAATTATGGATATACCAAATCATAAGCACCATTGTATAAGGAACTTCACCGGAAGTCAAGCTGCGAGCAAAAAACACAAAAACCTTAGTTTAAAATAGTGTCTGCAGATGCAGACATAGTCCCTGCATTTCAGAACTAGAATCTCGCAGTATTTGCTATCAAATGGTATTATCTCCGGCCTGAAATTGTAGCCCTTTTCTCACTTTCATATTAGCTAATAGTGCATTGTGCATCAAATTTATCAAACATATTTGTTAAGATGGCATACGGCATCTACCTTAATTAAAAGTACTTTGTCGATAATTACTTTATATGATATTCCGATACTTTAAGCAAACTATGTTATCTATGAATATGAATATTTACAGTATGATAGCCTACACCAGCTAATCTGCAAGGACAACCTAATTAAATCGATCTGAATGCATGATTCTCAATTATTTGGTAGCATCAGTTCATCTGGCATCTTGGCAATAGCAGATGAATACAACTGAAAAATAGTAGAGTTTTTTTTAATACTTATGAATGGTGTTAGCTTTACTTTCAACCCAGAAGAAATAACAGTATCCTTCTTTGAGAACGAATTCCAAGCCAGTGCTATCATCAATCTTAATAAATATAACTTAATAAATAAAAAAATTTGAGAAAGTGAGTATTTAATAAAATCTTTGTTGTTATTAATTCAATAATTAATTGATATATAAAATATATATAAATAATTTAATATATCAATTATATATTTTATTGTTTTGTATGATATATTATATATTATTAAGCGAAGTTTATAAGGTTTGTATCAGCTGCTCATTATAATGTGAATAATGAGCTCATTATAATGTGAATGTGCTTTCATTAATATAAATGAGCAAATGTCTAAATGAGACAGAGTGAATATACTATTAATATAGTTCTTTCTAGTTCTAGTTCTGATTCTGAGTGCAAACTCTTTTGTTTGAAAAAAGTTGGTTTGATATCATAAAAAGTATGTGAAAAGTTGTGTTTATTCTATATTGATATAATGTTAAACCTGTATTTATATGATTTAATTTAATTTATTTAATAACGTCGTACTGTTAATGAATTGTTAAATATTAAATTTTGAATATATAAATGCCTGATGTAATATAGTTATTATTAATAAAATATCTCATATATTTCAATTTATAACATTGTAGAACGGCCGCACACCCTTCCAGATATAGAGCAGGCGTCATCAGTAATATATAGTTACGGTAGAAAACGACAGTTTTCTCTGCGGTGCTATTTATCTTAGCTGAAATGAGGTATAGAAGAAAAATGTGCGTATAAACATGGGCTTTGGATACTCTTGTCAGTCAAATAACGAAAATGATGAAACGAAAAAATAATGACTTACTAATATTGTTGTTCTCGTTCAATTTTGAGCACAAAAAATTTCTATTTTGAACAATTGAACCACTTATTTGTGATAACTGATTGTATAAATTTCCATTAGTGTATGAGAAAACATTTTGTATTTTTAATCAAATGCTTCTCATTAGCTTTTAGACTCAATTATAGCGTTCAGTATGTCATGGGAAATTTTGTTTTTTTTTCGCCAGAGATTTTAAAAACTTGCCGAATTTGATTTTCTAAGCCAACATGCTTTAAAATATTTGAACATTTTACTCTGACTGCTCGAAGGTCCATGAAGCAGAAAATGGTTGCTGATTTGTACCGCCACAAATTTTCAATTTGGCTAAACCATTTTTTGTAGTCCTTTTTTATATCTTGCACTAAGCAACCTTGATTGCGTTAGCTTGGAGCCACAAATGTAAGCAACAACAACGGCAGCAATCAGTGAAAACGGTGGCAACGCGCTTTTTTTGTTCGTTGCCACTGGAATTTGTTTGCGCTTATGTGATATTGGCGTCGCGACAAAAATGGCAAAGAACGTCAGCGGCAACAATAGCGAATGCATTCGGAACAATTGAAGATATGCCAGCGTTGTGCAACATAGTTTGACAAAAATCCAATCAAGTTGAGGGCTTATTGGGTGCGTATTTCGGAGACCCGTAGTAGAGCACTGATTTCACAAACACCCAAAACTAGGCAAGGGTTTACCATTGCGTGTTTACTTAATTTTTCTCCTTTTTTTAGCATGCATATAAAAATTTTGAGCAACTCCCTACCGCATATCATGACACTTTATAGATGTGGGACTGCATACGCTGAGGCACAAGTAGATGAATGCTTGTATTTACGCATATCGGCTTGTACTCGAACCGCGGCAGCTATGTAGCTGTGGGTTATGATGTATTTTTGTGGTTCTGATATTGTTTTATGTGAAGTGTTTTGTGCCCGTGGATGCTCAATAGCTGGTGCGGGTGCATATCACTTGCTAAGTCCTCACAGCATGTGTGCACTTTGCGCATTTAGTGGATTTTTCATTGTATTTACCTGACCCGAAATTCAACAGTATTCAATGTAATTTGTTTAAAATACAAGCATACTTTTAGATGTTTGTAATTTAGTTCAATTAAATATTTCAATAGAATATTTAGCGCAGCTGGTGTTGTAAATTAAAACTTTATTGTTTTTAAGTGAATTCTTTTTGTTTGATTATTTGGTCGAAAATTTGGAGCAGCTGTGTTTCAAAGTATAATTTACATTCGAGATATTTATATAATTGTATCGCACATACTACGTTAAGTAAGGCATTAAATGGATAAATTTCAAATTTTAATACCCTTTTCAAAATAACGTCAACAATATTGTCATCGCTCTCTGTTTAAATTTACATGTCATTGTCGCAGTCCCGGTGGCAGTAGCAGTCCTAACCATTAAATTGTATGACGTGCGACCCAATAAACGTTTAGCATCGTTATTAACCGCTATAAAATCGCAAATCATCATTAATTTACTTTTAACGACAAAACCATAAAAACGTTTATGAAAAATATCAAACGAATAAAAGAAAATAATAGGCCACACAATTTAACTGTTCGCTCGCAATCTAATAAAATTTCATTTGGGTGATGCTGATTTTCCATCGCACATGTCCGGAACAAAACCTTTAAAAGTAA